AGAGAGAGAGCTGGGAAAGAGAGAGAAAAGAGCTTGAGAAGAGCTAGACAAGAGCAGAGAGAGGGCCTCTGGGCCTGGGCTAGGCCTTATCTAGGGTATGGGCGGAGAAAGGTGTGGCCACATCAAATTCAGATGTAACCCAAAATAGGAATTCTAAAGGTCGTGTTAATACTGAGATACCTTTAAAAAACATTGTGTTAGTTAAGTTCTGAAGCACTACCAACCAATTTTGGCCAATTTAAGCAGAATAAATTCCTTATTGAAATACAAAAATCTCCAGAAGGCTAAGTTTACCAACCTTAGAACTCAGACCATAATGTAAGGAAACTATGAACTTAAAAGTCATAAGAAGCCAGTGTAGGGCTAGGAAGGTGGCTCAGTGGCAGAGCGCTTGCCTTGCATGCATGAGGCCCTGGGTTTGATTCCTCAGCACCACATAAGCAAAAAGAAAAAAGCCGGAAGTGGCGCTGTGGCTCAAGTGGTAGAGCACTAGCCTTGAACTGAAGAGCTGAGGGACAGCGCCAAGGCCCCATGGGACAGAGTTCAGGCCCCATGACCGGACCTTCCCCCCAAAAAAAAGAAGCCAGTGTAGGAAGGATACTGCTGTTGCCACTGCAGAATACTGGGTTAATTACTAACATCCTGCCCCTGGCACCTGCTGAATTAATTCTTGACTGCCTTGCTTCCTTGTGTAATTAGCTGACTATTCAAGAGTTCCTAATGGATGCATCTTGACTAAGCCTGGGATTTTGGCTTACTGCTACAGATTTGGAGAAATGAGTACTTACTTTCTTAGGTTTTCCATATGAGAAGCCCTCTCTCAAATTTGCATGATGTGAGATTTCCTGAGCTCTCGAAGTAGAGTCTAGAAGTGAGCAGGGAGAAACACACGTGTAAGAATATACACAAGTTGCCAGGCACCAGTGGCTCATGCCTGCAATCCTACCTACTCAGGAGACAGATCTGAGGATCGCAGTTCAAAGCCAGCTCAGGCAGGAAAGTCTATGAGACTCTCCTCTCCAATTAACCACCAGAAAACCAAAGTTGCACTGTGGCTCAAGTGGTAGAGCTCTAGCATTGAGCTGAAGAGCTCAGGGACAGTGCCCAGGCCCAGATTTCAAGCCCCAAAATTGACAAAAAAAAAAAAAAAGAAAGAAAAAGAATATACAGAAGTTTGACGTCTATCCCGATGGGGCTTTTCCTGTAGCCATACATTGTTGGAATCGCCTCATACAGAAACATAGTGGTTTTCCTTTACTCACAGGTTTATTTCTTAGGTCTGTGAGTTGGAACTACAAGACAGCTAACAAAATGTATGAAAGCCCTAATAAATTGTTAACCTTAGGTATTAGCATAGCTCTTAGATCTGTACTATTCCTGAATGATAGCTCACGGATGAGTATCTAAACTCATTCTTGTTTCAAGAAGGTGTCAGCAGTTGAAAACCAGGGAGCTCCAGCTACTCCAAAAGTGATCTAAAAATAAATTGCTTGAAGATACTAGATCCTAGATCTAGCTCTAGACTTTTGAAGTTACTGTCCATCTTTTCTTACTCAAGGGGCATTAAAAAGAACCCAAATAAAAGAAGTGTGGGAAGGTGGCTCAGTTGTAGAGTGCTTGCCTTGCATGCATGAGGCCCTGGGTTCAATTCCTCAGCACCACATAAGCAAAAAGAACCGGAAGTGGCGCTGTGGCTCAAGTGGTAGAGTGCTAGCTAACCTTGAGCTGAAGAGCTGAGGGACAGTGCCCAGGCCCAGAGTTCAGGCCCCACGACTGGACCCAAAAAAAAAAAAAAAGAAGTGTGGGTTGACAACTGGTAGAGCACCTGCCTAGCAAGTGTGAGGCCCTGAGTTCAAACCCTAATATCACAAGGAAAAATGCAGTGATTCTAGGAGGAATGGTCACTAATGTTAAATACCACCAGAGGATGACTGAGACATTAAAAAAGAAAAAAAGCTGGGTGCTGGTGGCTCATGCCACTCAGGAGACATCTAAGGGTTGTTGTTCAAGCCAGCTGGGATAGTAAAGTCTCTATGAGACTCTTATTGCAAATTAACCACCAGAAGTAAAAAACACAGAGATGTCACTCAAGTGGTATAACACTAGCCTTGAACAGAAAAGCTCAGAGACAGCACTCAGGCCCTGGTTTCAAACCTTGCATGCACACACATGCATACACTGACATGTACACACACACATACACACACACACACACAGCATGAAGACCTAAGTGGCATGCCTTATATTTGCATAGAATGTTTTAATTTTCACTGTTTTTAATTATATTTCTTCAAGCTCAAGAAGTATCATTAATCCACCCAATAAACAAGTATTATCCAATATATACTACATGTGAAGCACAGCAATAGAAAAATCTTAGTCTAGTACAGGGACCTTTTTTGTTGTTGTTGTTGCTAATCCTGGGGCTGGCCTGAACTCAGGGCCAAAGCACTGTTCCTGAGCTTTTTTTGCTCAAGGATAGTACTCTACCACTTGAAGTGTCTTCTGGTTTTTTGGTAGTAAATTGGAGATAAGGGTCTCACAGATTTTCCTGCCTGGATGGGATCTTCACATCCTAGTTTGAAGTAGCTAGGATTATAGGCCTACTGTAGGCCTCCTGAGTAGCTAGGATTATAAGCATGAACCACCAGTGCCCATCTAAGTGTGCTTATTTTATTATTTTTATTTTTTGCTGGTCCTGGGGCTTGAACTCATGGCCTGGGCACTTCCCTGAGCCTCTCTGTGCTCCAGGCTAGTGCTCTATCACTTGAGCTACAGCACTAATTAGGCTTTTCTGTTTACATGGTACTGAGGAATGGAACCCAGGGCTTCATGCATATTAGGCAAGCATTCTACCACTAAGCCACATTCCTAGCCCAGTGTGCTTATTTTATTTTATTTATTTATTTATTTTTGGTCCGGTTGTGGGGCCTGAACTCTGGGCCTGGGCGCTGTCCCTCAGCTCTTCAGCTCAAGGTTAGTGCTCTACCACTTGAGCCACAGTGCCACTTCTGGCTTTTTTTTCTTTTTTGCTTATGTGGTGCTAAGGAATCGAACCCAGGGCCTCTGGCATGCAAGGCAAGCGCTCTACTGCTGAGCTAACTTCGCAGCCCCGGTGCTTATTTTATTTGTTTTTGTTTTTTTTTTTTTGGGTCCGGTCGTGGGCCCTGAACTCTGGGCCTGGGCACTGTCCCTCAGCTCTTCAGCTCAAGGCTAGCGCTCTACCATTTGAGCCACAGCGCCACTTCCGGCTTTTTTTCTTTTTGCTTATGTGGTGCTGAGGAATCGAACCCAGGGCCTCAGGCATGCAAGGCAAGCACTCTACCACTGAGCCACCTTCCCAGCCCCCTGGTGCTTATTTTAAAAACTCTAGAAAGACAGAAAAGCAAAAGGGAAGAAATAAATATTCATACTTGTAGAACTCAGTAATATGTACGTTAGGATTATAATACATTTTTTCATAAGTTTATGTTTATAGTGTTTACTTGTATTTTTTCTGGACAATACTGGAACCTTATGTATGTGTGAAGTTTTGTTTCTTTTGCAGAATATGATCTTTTGTTGTTAAAATTCTCTAAAAACACTGCTTAAAATTTCATTTCAGCTGGGCTCCGGGGGCTCATGCCTTTATTTTTTTATTTTTTTTATTTTTGGTCCGGTTGTGGGGCCTGAACTCAGGGACTGGGTACTGTCCCTCAGCTCTTCAGCTCAAGGCTAGCGCTCTACCATTTGAGCCACAGCGCCACTTCCGGCTTTTTTTCTTTTTGCTTATGTGGTGCTGAGGAATCGAACCCAGGGCCTCAGGCATGCAAGGCAAGTGCTCTACCACTAAGCCATCTTCCCAGCCCCTCATGCCTTTAATCCTAGCTACTCAAGAAGCTAAGATTTGAGGATCACAGTTCAAAGCCAGCCCAGGCAGGAAAGTCCATAAGACTCTTATCTCCATTAGCCACCTGAAAACTGGAAGTGATGCTGTGGCTCAAGTGGTAGAGCGCTAGCTTTGAGTATATCGAAGCTCAAGGACAGCTCCTAGGCCCTGAGTTCAATCCCTGCAATGGACAAAACAAAATTTTTTTCATTTTGTAGCTAGGTGCGGGTGGCCCAAGTCTGTAATTCTACTCAGGAGGCTGAGATATGAGGATCAAGGTTCAAAGCCACCCGGGCAAGAAAGTCTGTAAGACTTTTATCTCCAGTACACTACTCAGAAAAAGCCAGAAGTGCTCTGTGGCTCAAGTGGTAGAGTACTATTCTTGAGCACAAAGAGGCTCAGGGACAGTGCCCAGGCCCTGAATTCAAGCCCTACTATGTTAAAAAAAAAAAAAAAATCTTAGCAGTATTGGAATTACTGATTCCACACTGTCTAATATTTAGGCTCATTTTGATTATTGTTATAAACTGCAAGTATTAGTTGCCAAGGATGAAGGAAAGTAGAAAAGTAGACAATTCATTGCTTGGTGGGGTTCTCCGTTGATCCAGTTTTGCTCCAGATATTAAAAAAAATGAAAATGTCAGTGTTCTTTTCAGAAATTCAACTTCTGAGAATTTCTCCAAGGGACCCAGTCTTTTAAATTATGTCCCATGCTTTGAATTGTCTTTTCCTTAGGATCTAAGCGCTCTTCCCACAGCAATGCTTATTTTTATGGCTTCTTCAAGAATAAGCGAATAGTTTTATTTGACACTCTACTAGAAGAGTACTCAGCACTAAACAAAGATATCCAAGAGAAGTCTGGTATGGAAGCTCACAATGATGGAGAAGGGGACAATGAAGAAGTGAAAGCTAAAGTTAAAGTGAGTTCTTTTCCCAAGAGGCTCTGGCCTTAGTTTCTATAGAAGTGTCTTTGATAACTCAAAGTAACACCAGTTTCTATGCAGTGAGGAGCAAATTCAGGGAGATTACCAAATAAAAATCTCATGGCCCCTTATAAAGTTCTAGTATTTGGGAGAGATTACTAATTAATACATACTGTTACATTATAATTACCTTGGGTTTCATGCTCATAGCTGGCATTGTACCACTTAAATCATGCTTGTATGGCATTTTGCTAGATAATTGGAAATAGGGTTTCATAGACCTTTTTTTATCGGCCTGCTTGGAACCTCCATCCTCCAGGTTGCAGCCTTCTGCATAGCAAGGATAACAGGTTTGAGCCACCAGTCCTCAGCTTCTGGCTATTAATTGTAAAAAGTATTTAGGATAGTTCCTCTCTGGAATTTTGCTCTTCTGAAGACAAATAGAATAACTGGAACCATCTGTCTGAAAAACAACTTTGTTGTTTTTTTTGGGTCCGGTTGTGGGGCCTGAACTCTGGGCCTGGGCTCTGTCCCTCAGCTCTTCAGTTCAAGGCTAGCACTCCACCACTTGAGCCACAGTGCCACGTCCGGCTTTTTTCTTTTTGCTTATGTGGTGCTAAGGAATGGAACCCAGGGTCTCATGCATGCAAGGCAAGCGCTCTACCACTGAGCCACCTTCCCAGCCCTAAAAAGCAGCTTAAGTAAAGGAATAATTCAAATATATATAAGCAAGCTGTATATGAAAACCTTCTTATTGTATAAGAAAACAAGTCCTGGCTGCTAAGTGTTGTAAAAGTGTGCACACTCCAGAGAGATGGGCTTTATGCACTTACCTACTAACAAGACATTTTGCCTCAGCTTCTTTTTCTTTATCTCTAAAAAATGTAAGACTTCCCTTCTTGCCAGCCTGCTTTGTGAGCATCTAAGGAGTCCGTGTATGGATTTTATGAAAAGGAAGTGCTATGTAAATGTGAAAGAGAGGTGGTACTTATTTCTGTCTTTAGGTAAAATTAGTGTGGAAAGAAAAGAAAATCCAGTTCTGCTTGAGTCTACTGTTGTCTTATTGATAAAGATGTATGTATTTTTTCCCAATCTAAGTTAGTGTTAGCCGAAAGCTTAGCAGAATTGGGGAATATTTGTGATTCTGTCTTCAGTGTTTAACCCAGTGTCTCACATGGAGTGATGGTTCAGAGAATGTTTTAGTAAGCAAAGTTTTACACAAAAGTCTGATTGTTTATTTAAGTTATAATCTGTGAAAGAGCTGGGAGCTGGTGGCTCACACCTATAATCCTAGCGACCCTGGAGGCTGAGGTCTGAGGATCACGCTTCCAAGCCAGCCTGGGCAGGAAAGTCCATGAGACGCTTATCTCCAATAAACCACCAGAAAACTGGAAGTGGTGCTGTAGCTTAAGTGGTAGAGTACTAGTCTTGAGCTGAAGAGCAGGACAGAGCCCAAGCCCAGAGTTCAAGCCCCACGACTGACCAAAAAAAAAAACAAAAAACGTGTGAAAGAGTATTATTATTAAAGTCAAAGGTTCAAACTTTTTATAAGTTGTTGATAATTTACGTTCCTTTTATTCTTAGATTCAGAATAAGAAACAAGGATGTAAAAATGAAGAGGTACTTGCTGTACTAGGCCATGAACTGGGGCACTGGAAGTTGGGACACACGGTCAAAAATATCATTATTAGCCAGGTAAGTTTAGAATGACAGTTATATTTTTTAAAGCATAGTAGGCACAAGAGGTCATGTAGTAGAGAGGTTAATACAGACTTCAAAGTAGATGAAGCAGTCTATTAATCTCTGATCTTTTTTTTTGGGGGGGGGGTTGTGGGACTTGAATTCTGGGCTTGGGCACTGTCCCCCAGCTCTTCAGTTCAAGGCGAGCACTCTACCACTTGAGCCACAATGCTGTTTATAGTTTTTTTTAGTGGTTAGTTGGAGATAAAAGTCTCATGGAGTTTCCTGCCCAGGCTGGCTTTGAACTGTGATCCTCAGATCTCAGTCTCCTAAGTAGCTAGGATTACAGGTGTGAGCCATTGGTGCCTGGCGAAGTTGGATATTTACATGTTTGTTTGTTTGTTTTTTAGCCAGTCCTGGAGCTTGAACTCAGGGCCTGGGCACTGTTCCTGAGCTTCTGTTTCCTCCAAGGCTAGCACTCTACCACTTGAGCCACAGTGCCATTTCCAACTTTTTCTGTTTATGTAGTACTGAGGAATTGAACCCAGGGCTTCTTGCATGTTAGGCAAGCACTCTACCACTAAGCTACAGTCTAAGCCCTTTAAATGCTTCCCCCCCCCCTCCGCCTCTCCTTAAATGCTTTTTTAAAAACATTTTTCCTCACTTAAAAATAATTACATGTTCACTAAAAATGGTAGAGCACAAAAAGAAGAAAGTAGTTCCTAAGACATAGGTCTGAAGACATAGCCAACAGATTTTCCAGCCATGGATGAAATAGCACTACCTTGTTGGCTGGTTATATATGTATGTAGACTTAACTGATCAGGGATCAGTTTTTTGTTTTTGTTATTGTTGAGACAGTGTCTCACTATCTAACTGTGGCTGGCCTGAAACTGGAGATCCTCCTGCTTCATTCAGTCTCCAGATTGCTAGGATTACAGGTATGTGAGTTAGAGTCTTCAGTAAAGCTCTGTACCTTTCTGATGATCACCTGATTGTGGGGGATGGGTAACATGTGAGGACTTTTGAACCCCCAGGGGCACATTTTTGTTGCTATACATCTTTAGGTAGGAAAATGATTTCCCTAGCTTCAAGTTATTCTGTATGGGTACAAGGGAGGAAGACATTACATAAATCCGAATCCAGGCTCAAATTCAGTGGTCATTCTTCTTTTTTTCTTTTTTTGGTCATGGGGCTTGAAGTCTGGGCTTGGGCACTATCCCTCAACTCTTCAGCTCAAGGCGAACACTCTACTGCTTGAGCACAGCACCACTTCTGGTTTTCTAGTGGTTTATTGGAGATAAAGAGTCTCACTGATTTTTCCTGCCCGGGCTGGCTTTGAACTGTGATCCTCAGATCTCAGCCTCCTGAGTAGCTAGGATTACAGGCGTGAGCCACCTGCACCCGGCTTTCAGTGGTCATTCTATAAGGAAAATCACTGTCCTTTCCATGAAAGAAAGGGTCCAGTGGAATTTGTCTACCACAAGGTGGTGGGGCTGGTCTCTGAGAACTGAGGTTGATTGTGCCTGCTGATAGATTGGGTAACTGGCTCTTGCCAGGTGGAAGGTGTTGTCTAATGCATTGACTCCTATCTCAACCACCTTGGCCACTGGGCATGAGTCCCTTGACCAAGTCCTTGAGTGCAGTAAAACCAGTCTGGCTGACCTCCACAGAACAGGTATTTGTTCCTGATCATCATGTATGTACCTCCTATATCATGAGGCTCTTTGTGAACTTTCATGTTAGGCCATGGTATAATCATACTCTGAGCTGTTGAAGTCTTCCATGCACCTTTTCTCCAGCCCTCCTGTTTTAGCCATCCTCTAGTTTGTCCCACAGCCCTGATCATCCAGTCAAACCATTACTTGCCTACTGGCAAGTATCTCCTCTGCTGGACAGGTGTCTCCTCCACTGATTGGTCAGTGAGACATAGTACTTGCAGCTTTCTTCATGGAGAATATTCCTTGCACCACTGCCTGCCTTCCATGACCATCCCTGAAGGGTGTTGTAATGCCACAGTCGACTACTTTGAGCCAATACCAGCATATCGCTATTCATATAATACACTTTATTTTTTTCCTTCTCAATTAAATGACTATAGGAATTTCCTATGAGTAAGGACTGATTAAGGGGTAGCAGAGTGGCAGGAATGGGCATACTGGATAGAGTAGGAACACATACCTTCCTAATCCGTTTGTTTCATTTGCCTGTGCAACCACTGTCACCTGATGATAGATGGCTCCAGACTATATAATGACAGGTGGCTTTACATAACTCAGAAGGAAAGGCTCAGGTGTCTCATGACCAGGAATCCAGACTCCAGTAGGGAGGAGTAGCAAACCAGAAGTTAATTTTCAAGAGGTCTCTGGTCACTTGATAAGAATGTATGCATAGACTCTAAGTGTGGACATCTTCACTGTGTGTTTTTTGTGGGGCTTGCTATGCTCGATGCATTGGGTTATCAAGGCTGAGCACCAGAGATGCTTTTTACTTCATTCCGGGTGGCAGGCAAACCTCATAGTCCAAGATCCATTCTGTGCAGTAGCTTCTTGGATAGCAGGTAAATGGTTTGGATGGCACACTTAAATTTGTTGTATGTGTGGCCTCTGAGTTCCTGATCTGCTTAGGGAAAATAATGGCATGTGTTCTCCAACTTTACTCCAAGTGTAGATTCCTCCCCCCTTCACTTATTGATAAAGATAGATCTGGTTCTCCCCCCCCCCTCCCCACAACATACACACCCTTCCATCCTTTTCCCCTTGGCTTTTGTAATGATTCAGTACAGCTCCAGCAGTCCTAAAGAAACTTTAAGGAGCTTACACATTAAGGTTAAAGCAGAATCTGTTCTGGCCTTTCAATACTCCATTGCCATTGGCCGTGTCAGACTCAATTATAAGAGGCTCACCTCAATCCTACCACTGTAGAAAACTGTATGGTTTAAATACTCGGGGAATTTTTTTCTTTTGAGAATATAAGGGGGAAAACTATAAAACTAAATGACTTTTGATTTGATCACAATATCATTCTCCTTAAAAATCACACCATGATTTTTTTGGTTGTATTTTTGTGATACTGTTTATCCCACAAATGAAGTCAGTTTAGTAATAACCTAAAATTTTATGTCCTGTTTTCTAGATGAATTCTTTCCTGTGTTTTTTCTTGTTTGCTGTCTTAATTGGTCGAAAGGAACTTTTTGCTGCATTTGGTTTTTATGACAGCCAACCCACTCTAATTGGACTGCTGATCATCTTTCAGTTTATTTTTTCACCTTACAATGAGGTAATGTGTAATCTTCAAAACTACATTATGGGGGCTGGGAAGGTAGCTCAGTGGTAGAGTGCTTGCCTTGCATGCATGACCGGACCCCCCCCAAAAAAAACTACTTTGGGGACTAGAGTCATGGCTCAAGTGGTAGAGCACCTACCTTGCAAGCATGAGGCTTTGGTACTGCCTCCAAAAAAAAACCTTCAACAAAGATGGTAGGTACTGGGAATGTGACTTAGTGGTAGAGTGCTTGCATGAAGCCCTGGGCTCAATTCCTCAGAACCACATAAACAGAAAAGGCTGGAAGTAGCATTGTGACTCAGGTGGTAGAGCACTAGCCTTGAGCTAAAGAAGCTCAGGGACAGTGCCTAAGCCCTGAGTTCAAGCCCCAGGGCTGGCAAAAAAAAAAAAAAGATGGTAGGTACTGGTTAGAATCTTCTATGTTTGTATTTACGTGTTACAGAGAGAATGAAAGAACAGTTTGGAAAGCTAAAATAGAGATGGAGGTAGGGTATGTGAGAATAATTGAGATTAAAATTCAGTGAAGTCAGTTAATTAGTTCTTATGAGAATGTGGGATCTCACTATGTTGTCCACATTAGTCTCAAACTCTTGGATTCAAGCCAACTTCCTGCCTTAGTCTTCAAGTGCACTACCACAGCTTCCTCAGTTAATGCTTCTATCCTCAAAAGTACATTCAAGATTTGAAAACTTGAGACAGAATTAGATGGTATTAGAATCAGTTTTGGAGATTGTTGTTGGAGGCTGTGGGCATGTTTTTTTTTTTTTTT